GACCGTTTAGTTATTTCTAGAATTCTATCTGCAGTAATAGCTAAGTCATCTATTACAACACCCTGAAGTGTCACAAGTATGGTCTGTACAGACTGTGGCAGCTTGGTTAAGAAGAGTTCTCTAAATAGTCCTTCGTCGAACAGACTTTGGCCAACAACTTCTCTCATTCTTGTCAGCATGCTCGCGGCTGACTGATCTCCTAACTCGATGTTACGAAATAATTCGTCCAGACGTTGTCGGTCAGTGAGAACGTTTCTCCTGAGGAGGAATGCTTTCAGCAACTCGTACGAGTTACTTACCTCGGGACTGAACATCTGTGATGTTACGTACTTGCTGAATTCCCGCGGTGGAGCGTGAATAACTGCAAGTAACTGTGAACGTTGATCGTTCATCCCATGCTCACAAAAATCTGCTTCAGCTAGCTGAAACCATGTTTCAGCATTATCTGGCCAGTATGGTACGAGCTGAATGGTTTTAGGAGTTGAGCGGATACGAATGACCTTAGGACTCAGATCACTCATGACGAAAATTATGTCGAATAATATATGGTAGAAGAACAAATACAAAATGGAACGAACTCACCAGGGTTATCTGCCGATTTATCGTGGATGAAGTTCGCGGTTGGGCTCACCAGTTTAGAGGTTGACAGAATTCTCTTACACAGCCTCTAAATTATTCTCGCGTACCAACAACAAAGCAAAAGCCAATATTTGATCGTCCAAACTAAGTGATATATTTCGGGACCAAAACAAGCCTTCAGACGAACGCTTAGCTAGCTAGTGATCGTGCACGTAACACGACGGGGTACCAAATGGCGGGGATGCTTGACCGGAAGCCTTCAGCTAAACAAGTCGACTTAAACAGTGGTGGTCAGCATCCAATGGTGAGTGATTGCTGTGGTCAATAGTTTTGGGGAATTACTTACCGCTACAACTTCTAACAGTAAGTGAGAACATAAGTGAAAGAGAGTAGGCAGCAAGTAATAAATCATAGGTTTCAAATATTTAGGCTTGTTAGGCAAATGGTTAGTAGGGTTCCATTTTAGTATTTTTTTTGCCTCACATGTGTGCTTATTATCCCTCTTTTGAATCTCTGTTTACTGTCTTCTCTTGCTTTGTGTGCTACATGGAGGGAAAGTGGCAGCTGGAACAGCTGCACATCTGTGGAAAGTCAATCAGGGTTGGTCTCCGAGAAGCATGGAACGTTATTAACATCTTAAGATGCCTTTACATTATAGCAGCCCATTACGAAACTGTCTAATATGTGAACGGATTAATGTTTTGAGCAACCAATCAAATAAGTCCGTAGTATATAAGAGCAATTATGGATACTGTACACGAATCACACGGCGAATTTCATCTAGATAGATTTTTTAAGTGCTTTCGGGATAACAGGTCATTATAGGAATTGAGAAAATGTGTAGATGTGGAGGTGTTATGCATTTACAAAGATACACCTGCTGAATTGATGGATTATTCTGAAGGTGGAAAGACTGCTGAAGCAGAAAATCAGTTCGAGAGGGTATGTCGTTCTTATTTTAGTTTATGGATGTTTCTTTCACCAAGTCGAAGTTTTGCCTCTAACGAAAATTATGATGCGTCATAACTGCGTCCTGAAAAGACCAGTTACCACTACCACATTCGGAACAGAGAATTCAGAAGTGTCTGCAGTACAGCGTTATCAGTACTGCAGAGATATAACGTTATGGAGAATGAACAATATAATGCAAATACTTGGAGACGTTGAAGACTTTGTGTTCACGTGGAGGAGACAGTGCTTATAAAAGAGGAAATATAATCGAGGTAGATTAAGTGCCAATCAGCAGTGGGCATTAGAATTACATGACACCACCCTGAGCAAAGAATATATTCAGACGATTCCTGATCGCAGTGCCGATGTTTTATTGACTATTATTTAACTTTCAGTACTGCCTGACACAACGATTCACACAGACTGATGGAGTTGCTATAGCCATCTGCCATCCCTAGGCTATATTCACAACGTAGTCAATCATACAGACGATTTCGTCAGACCTTTCGATAGGCACCCGGGACTGACGGGTTAAGGAACCAAGCTAGCTGACCATTCAGCCAGTTGGACTGCAATTCAATGAAACATGAATTCCGCATTTGTCAATTCGAGATACGGCGATACGCTTAACCAATGCCCCCAACTTTACTTTGACACGTGCCACAGAATTCTGGATGAAGTGGCTGAGTATTCAACGAATTTGATCCGGTAACTTAAAGCTCCTAAGTTCAATCCCTGATGGGTGGCGAATACTGAAGAGTCCCAGAATAGGGCGAAACAGCGGTCTAGTGCCACATGGTTTCCGATGAAGTTGATTCTTGACGAAATCTAACAGCTGAAATAAAATCGATCCAAATCGAACTTATCAAATTTGTGAATTCCATATTATCTACATGACTCGTCTAACCTCAATATTCAACAACCACGTAATGAATTTCGCTGCAATCGGTAATGAATCTTAGTTATTTCATATAGACTAGTGAGGCTAATCGACTATCTCTAAAACTCAGTAAGTGCAGCAGGAATCCGACTTGTATGACTCGGTCAGAGTTACATACTACTGCTCCTCTAACAATAAAAAAATCACTAAAAAATAAATAAATACAGAATAATTCAATGCTGTTGTGTATAGTGATTTTAATTTGTAAAACTTACCGGCTTTTAGACGAGCACATGCCACTATAAGCGGTCTGCATCGACGAATTAGCTACATCGGCTGACAGAATCTCGCTGATGATCGTAGTGTGGTTGAGCAGTACTTGATCTTGACTCACAAACGAGTTATAAGTCCTAGACGAATTCTTAGGACAAAAGTCTTCTTAACACATTGACTCATATAGCTGTTCGACAGTTGAAGGTTAAATTACCACGGTAAAATCCCCGTGGACAAGCACTGTGTCACTCCCAATAGATATCCTTGGCATATGGAATGCATTGAAGGATGATGCTTGGTATACTGCTGTAGAGCTGGTATATCTAACAACAGTACAGCTACCAAGAGAGTTTATTTGACCTCCTAGTTTTGCACCGGCTGTGGATCACATCTTGTAAGCCAACATCTCCGCGAACGTGATGCGTCCACTTAAAGTTCTCCCCTCCAGTTATAATCCACAGACATTTTTTTAAACTTCTCCACACGAAATTATTTGTCAAGGCTCCGTACATCGGGTGTTGAAACCTCCATAAGACGGACTATGGGGAGTAATAAAACGCACTGACAAATCCTTTGTTTTAGATAAAAAAGGTCACTAAGATTATGTTACCTTCCACCGTCTAAGTCCGGAAAACAACGGGGGAAAACATCAATTTTTCTATATAACTTAGTGAGGGCGGGGGCAACAGTATAAAGACAAGAGAAGACTCCAATGATACAACATAAACACCCCGGTGAGACTACAAGATTTCCTGAACATCTCCACACATATCTTGTAGGGTTAAGTAGACGTACTCCAATTTCAACTGGTACAACGGCTCATAAATTTTAATGTGCATCTGTATACAAATTCAATCATTATTTTGGCTATTTACTTTTCTCAAAGTTGTCGACTTTCATATTTTCTCTTCCATGTGCGACAGACAAGAAGTGAACGAAACACAAGAAACAAAGGACGAATAAAAAGTTTTTGTAGACTGAATGCATTAGTACAGAAAGACAACTAGAGAGCCACTGATTCCCAAAACACTTATCGAAAACGTAGGGCCATCACTCCATTTCCTCCCACCCTGGTTAGTATCGTCATAGGGTCTTCATAATCCCACTAGGAGTGGGCTGCAGAAGGGGAATAATCCCCCTAAATTGGCTTACAGCTTTTATTCAACATTAGATGCTGAAGACTCGTTGTCAGGCACCCACGGCATTTGGTACGCCACTCACGAACGATATTCAGTTGACTAAGTACGTATGATTACTCAAAGGCACCGGTACCAAAACATCCTTCATCATTATTATTTCCTTTCATTCCTAGAGGAACATAGGGCTTCAGCTGCGCGTCTCCATTGCGTTCGGTTTTCTCTCAACTCCAAGTCTGCCCACATGCTTTCATCTCCTCTTCACATGACCTCCTACAAGTCACCCCACTCTCGCACTGACGAACAACTCGCCACCCGCTTCCCTTTCGGGTTCCACTCGAGCAATGGCTTGTCTAATGATGTCACTCACTCGATGGTTTCCTCAGAGTATGGCCAATCCATCTCCATTTCTTCCTGCCTATTTGATTCACAATTAGTTCCTGCTGGGTCGGTTCGCTCCCAGAGATCCCTGTTGCTGATCTTGAGTATTGAGCGAAGACAGCTGTTGATGAAGGTCTGTAGTTTGTTTGAGGTGCTCTTTATGACGCTCTGGCCAAGTCTCTGATCCGTGTAGTAGCACTGACTTACTTCACATTGGAGTTGAAAATCCAGATCTTATTTTCATTTTCATGATGAGTGCTGTTGACCTCCACACAGACTTGAGAGTAATGAAAGCTTGTCTTGCTTTTCCGATTCTTGCCTTGATATCCTCATCAGTTCCGTCGGCCTGTAGTTGAAACGATGCTTCCCAGGTAGCTGGGTAGGTAAAGGAGGTTGTTTCTTTCAGGTTCCTCCCATTTATGCTGGCTGATTGTTGCTGTTTGTGTTGGCCATGAATCTCCATCACCTCTGTTTTATCTATGTTCACCTGTAGTCCTATCTTCTCTGGATGCTTGTTCTGCCAACTTGCTGCTTTCAAGTTGCATATCTTCCTGTGTGTGGGAAATCAGACATATATCATCAAGGGCGAAGTCCAGATTCTCCAAGTTTTTTGTGTGAGTCCATTTTATGACTGTTTCCTCATTGCCCGTTGTCTGTCGCACTATCCAATCTACTGCTATCAGGAAGATCATTGGCGATAGTAGACAGTCAGCTTGTCTTACTCCCATCCTCACTTCGAAGGCTTCCGTAAGTTTCCCGTTGTGGATTACCTGGCATGTAGCATTGTCGTTTAACTATCGGATGAGATGTATAATTGTCGATGGCACCCCGTAGTAGCGAAGCAGTTTCCAAGTGACCTCTCGATCGACGCTGTAGAAGGCCTTTTCAAAGTCGATGAAATACTAAATAAATAGTATCAAAGCCCATCTTATCACTGCCTTTATGTGTGAATCACATGCTATCAACTGAGACCAAAAGTTGTTTGAATATCACTCCTGTTGGTTTAATACAACCTTTTCTGATTGCTTCGCAGAAAAAATATTTCGTAAAGCCGCTTTTTTCCAAAATCTCATAGACTGCTATCTTCACACCAACGATACGCAGATAAAAGATGAAAACTGCAATAAGTTTATGTATGCCTGACTGTACAGCATAACTGACTTAAGACGATCTACTTTCTTCCTTATATATAAAAATGTATATCTCTAAAAACTACACTGTACAAGTGCTTTTAAAATGTATTATTTCACGAATGTATCGGGGTAAAAACATTATTAACAGTTGGTTTCAACGAAATGACTGAGCCATAACATGCTTATCACTTATGGAAATTGTGTGCTATATCTTTATTTTAACACCAATTAGATTGAGTAACCAATAAAGAACAGTTCACTAGTGCTAGCCAGAAATGTATACTAAAAATACCAACAGCCAAAACTAGATACTCTTTTTTGCTTTATAACCAATTCTCTTAGAATAATAACATGAAATTAATTGCAATATGGTTCTAGATAAAAACAAACATAAGAAATTCTTTCACAGAAGATTGGGCTGAAAGAAATAAGTAGAAAACGATATGCAAATAAGAAATCATTAAAGGGGAATTGAACAAGATGAAGGAAATATAAAATAAATCATTGAACATGCACAACTGTACAAAGATTGTACGTATGACTACAAAACTTGTATGGTAGAACTCTGACTAATGTACACAACACCACCAACGACATTTATGAAGCCTGCTAGTATGAACACTGGAAACCATCGTCCACCAGATGTGATGACTAATTCAGCAGTTAACGGACCACATAATATACCAGGTATGGTAGCCTATACATAATAATTTTTTTTTAAAAAAGAAAAAAAATACAACAAACATGGGAAAAGTGGGTGGCAATAAAGTACTACAATAATAGGAAATACACTTTGTCAAAAGTTAGTGAAATCACTACATGTTAACGATATGTTATTATCAAGGGTAATGCAAGTTACGTAGACAAATACTCAAAAATGATTATTATAATTCAACTATAGTTACTCATTATTGTGTGATGGGTGATTCGTTCACTGGTTTAAATTCTCGACAATAGTTGTCACTCTTTCCCGCCTGCATGGAATTGCAAGTGGTTGTCGAACAGTACTACAAAACATTAAATCTCGACTACTGTCAGAAATCGTCAACTTAATTATTTGTCAATTCTATTCATTTCAAAAATGTGTCCAGTTTCACTGGTGTCCCCACTTTACTGTGCATTGAATATGCAACAAATTCAACTTATTGTTGGATTTCTATTTTTCGAAATTTTGCTCAATGCTTCATGTTGCATAAAGTATTACTATTTCATCAAAATAGTTGAAAATGGCGCAATATTGTGTCAACAATATGTACTACATGGAAAAGAAGCTGGTCGGATTACAGAAATAAGTAGTTTCATACATTTATTCCCCTTAATGAATTTGAACAAAGCAAGAACTACAGTTTTAGCAGAATAAAATGGTACCATCAGTGTTTATTTCGTTGCCTTCTCGTCAGCTGCTTACATGGCAAAGACATTATTAAATATATCTACAACAACAATTTTAACATACTTGCACAGAATTAAGTATAAACAAAAATCAATCGATAAATATACGCATACACTAAAAATATATACATATATAAATATGCAATATTAAACACTATTCCGAACAATAATAATCAAACACAATGGAAACTTTTAGCATTTCGCAGTCGGAAGAAAGAGAGATGAAAATATCCAGTGACCAGGGTAAAGAAAGACTGATAACCGCTTCTTTCTGGACGCACAAATCAGGTTTCAGGCGCTTGATGGAAATGGCTTCAGCAAACTTAAGGAGAATTGAGCTCTTTTGCCTATTGATAATTTTGAACGACTTTTCGACGTCCATCTCATGACCCGTGTTGAGGAGATGCCTGGCGATGGCACTGTTTAAAGCATTTGTTCCCTTTAAACGTAAGCTTTTTGGTACATGTTCAGAAAATCGTAGATATGCCCTTCTTTACGTCCTTCCAATGTAATTGCTCCCGCAGATACATGTAATTTTGTATATACAGTTGGAGTTAACATGAGATGGATACCTATCGATTTTTGATTGCACCAAAGAGCAAGTTGTTGGGTCCCGACTGAAAGCTGCTACCTTGACGTGGTGGTCGGGCTTGAACACCACAATGACCTAATCAAGCTATACTGGCTGAGACTTATGTCTCTTGAGGTTCTACCATGCCAGGCAGGTTGTTTGGATAGCGGTTAAACAAAAAGCAGCTACCTCATCCAATACCATGATCCAAACAAATTCACAAAATTTCATGCCGGATCGGCCGTGGCCCGGATTAACAACGACCGCGCTTCCTGCTGCCGTGTCACAGGGCGGGAGTGATAAGTATGCTACTGAGGCACACAAAACAACAAAGAACGAACAAAAACAGGCCGCGTGTGACCGGCCACAAGCAGTTGTCCCCTGGGCTCTGCGGTCACGCAACCAACTTCCACGGTGTGGGCAGCCGGGAAGTAACAATCGCCCTCACAATCCAAAACGCACACAAAACCTCTCTAATCCTCACTTATCTTTGTCTTCATCTTCATCTCTATTACCTTACCTTCCCCCAGTGATGCAACTCCTCTACTTGATGGCTCCTCACTCCCTCTTCACTCTGTGTCCACTAAAAACGACGAAAGCCAAAAAACCACCACGGATAGTCTCCTAAAGCCACGCCACCAATTTCATATAGGAGCATTTAATGTTAGGACACTTTGCCAAATAGGACAACAAGCATCACTAGCTAAGACCCTGGCATCTCGAGCCATTGATGTATGTTGTGTTTCAGAAACACGCATACAAGACCCAAGTGTGGTTATTCACCTAACCCCACCTGGCCAACAGGATGAATCTTCAAAATTCACCTTGAGGGTGTCAGGAGATGCCACAGCTAGTTCACGAGGATTAGCTGGCGTAGGGATAGCTCTGAGTACTAGGGCAGAAAAGACATTGCTTGACTGGATCCCGGTAGATAGCCGAATGTGTGCTGTCCGTCTGAACGGATCAGTAAGAAGGAGAAAGGACTGCACTACTCGCCGATGCCTTTTCGTAATCTCCGCCTACGCCCCCACTGACTGCAGTTCGGATGAAACGAAGGATGAGTTCTACCAAAAGCTGTCTAGTTTGGTGAGAAAGGCTAAACGCTCAGATATAGTCGTTCTAGCTGGTGACTTTAACGCTCAAGTAGGGAAATTGTGTCAATCTGAGAAGGATGTCGGTGGCACCTATGGAGTTCCGTACCAGCGAACCGACAACGGTGACCGTCTCCTACAGTTCTGTTCAGATAATCATTTGTTTCTTGTAAGCACTAACTTTAAACACAAGGAGAGACACTGTTTAACCTGGCGACCCCCATCATCAAACCAACGCTGGACACAAATAGACCACATAGCAATAAGCTATCGTTGGCGTGGGTCGGTAGGAGATTGTCGCTCCTTCTGGAACACGTGTGTAGATACCGATCACGCACTGGTCCGGGCTCGTGTGTGCTTACGACTGAACGGACGTAGGAAACAGCTGGCGGTAAAACCATTACGCCCCCAGCTCGATCAGGAAACTAAATCCCTATTTGAGGAAGAACTAGCTAAACACATATCTGAATCCGACAGCTGTGCTCACCCTGGAGAAGCTTGGAAAAATATTCAGTCAGCCATAGATACAGCTGTAAAAGCTGTGAATAAGGTAAATCCAAAGGTGAGTAAAAACCACTGGATTTCGACTGCCTCATCCGAACTGATAGATGCTAGAAGACTTATTCCGGCGAGCTCCGAATTCAATGAGGAGCGAAAGCTGCACAAAAGGAAACTTACGAAAAGTCTCCGCAAGGACCGTGAACAGTGGTGGGTGACAAAGGCGAAAGAGATGGAAAAAGCATTGGCGATAGGCAACACTAGGCAACTCTTTAGACTCATCACAGAATCGGGCGGGAGAAGGCAATTCATAAGTGAGACTATTTCTGAGAAAAATGGCTCCTTAATTAGCTCTCAGGATAGACGCCTTGAACGCTGGAAAGAACACTTTGTCCACGTACCCGAATGGGATATAGACACTGGTCCGCCGTCTGTAGGTGAGGTTACAAAAGCTATCAGTAATTTGAAACGAGGCAAAGCGGCAGGACCCGACGGAATTATTCCGGAGGTGTTTAAATATGGGGGTGACATACTAGTTTGTAGATTAACTGAGGTACTAGGCAAAGTCTGGGAATCAGAGACAGTACCATCAGACTGGGGTAAGTCACTTATTATACCGATATTCAAGAAGGGAAACAAGTCCTCGTGTGATAATCATAGGGGGATCAGCCTAACGAACATAGTCTCTAAAATCCTAGGCTCAGTAATCATGCATAGACTAAGCAGAACTCGGGAGGAACAGACAAGGGAAAATCAAGCAGGCTTTAGACCAGGTAGAGGGTGCATAGATCATATCTTCACTCTTCGACAGATTCTAGAACATAGACACACTTTTCGGCGTCCAACAATTGTCATATTTCTTGACTTGAAGGCGGCCTTCGACTCCGTGGACCGAAAGGTACTATGGCAATGTCTGACTGTGAAGGGAGTGCCAAGAAAGTACATTGCACTAATCAAGGCACTCTATTCAAACTCACGTAGTCGTGTAAGGGCTTATGGGGAATTGTCATCTGAATTGGTAACAACCAGTGGTGTCCGACAGGGATGTCCACTTTCCCCATTTCTGTTTAACTTCATCATAGATATTCTAATGGAAGTATCCTTAACTGAACGTAGTGACTTAGGAATCGACTTGTTACCAGGGAATAACCTAATGGACTTAGAATATGCAGATGACATAGTCCTGTTAGGGGAGGATGCTGACAAAATGCAGAGTCTTCTGAACACCTTGAGCAGCAATCTTCGTATGTTTGGCATGCGATTCGCCCCTGCAAAATGTAAGATGCTGCTACAGGACTGGACCACGTCAACCCCTAACTTAGTGATAGGGAGTGAAGTGATAGAACATGTTGACCACTTCACCTACTTGGGAAGTTGTATTAGCACCAACGGACTGATTGGCGATGAAATCTCAGCACGGATCCGAAAAGCTCGAGCTGCTTTCGCTGACTTACACCATCTCTGGCGTAGGCGTGACATCCGGTTATCAACCAAGGGACGTGTGTACTGCTCATCAGTTCGCTCCGTCCTTCTCTATGGCTCTGAAACATGGCCAATACGCGTTGAAGACATGAAAAGGTTGACTGCTTTCGATCATAGATGTCTGCGATCTCTGTCTCACGTTAGGTGGTTTCACAAGATAAGTAATGTTGACGTTAGGCGTAGAGTGTTGGGCAAAGAGGGAAAATCAATCGACGAGGTTATAAAGTTACATAGACTAAGATGGCTAGGTCACGTGCTGCGCATGCCTAACCACCGCCTCCCCCGACGGGCATTGTTAGCTGATATAGGTTCAGGTTGGAAAAGAGCCAGTGGTGGCCAAACAAAAACATGGCATCAATCCATGAAATCCTTGACAGTTAAACTGAGTCAGGTAGGGAGATGCAGACTCCCGGGTTGGGGCCCTCGGGACTCTAGGAATCAATGGCTGGAGACAATAGGTGACATGGCTCAAAATCGTTGTCAATGGCGCAGATGTATTCAATCTCTGTAATCTTTCATATTCCTTTCTACCATTACCCATTCTGTCTCACTCTTATATTTGTCAAACTCTATTAATTCTCTTCACTCATCTTCTTGTCTACCTCTGTGTGCTATTTGGAACGTGGCAACTCGAACTGCTGCACTTCGGTGCCAAGTTCTATGTTGAATCCAGACAGACAGAAGTTGTTGGGTAGACGGGAACGAGCTTAGCTGCAGGATAGGCTATGGCTAGTGATGTACTCAGCATTCTGTTGATCATCCCTGCAATGTTCTCACCTTGATAATCAAGCTGAACGTAGACTGGCTTTTTTCCACTGTGATTTGTTTTACATTTGTGACTTCAGATCTTCCATACTTGTTGATGAACCTTTGACGGTACCCATCGCTCTTCAATATCTTTTCAAGGAACTCAAACCCCTCCTCTAGTTTCTCTATAGAGCATATTCTCTTCGCTCTACGGTACAGAGTCTTGACTAGATCACGTTCAAAGCCATTTGGACAAAAGCTATTAAAATACAAGTATTGTCCTTTCCATGTAGGCTTTCGATAAATTGACTTTTGAAGACTACCGTCTTCTAGGCGTTCCATGGCGATGTCGAGGAAGTGAAACTTTCCGTCACTTTCATGTTCCATAGTGAACTCAATATTGGCGTGTGCATCATTGAATAATCTTAGTAAGTGTGAAGCATGACTTTCATTTTTGCAAACTTACCAGGTCAACAAGAAGGAAAATGACTGTATTAATCAAACTGAGATAGCTAATCCAAAAGTCTACATAGAAATTACCTGTTTCTGTTTATGCGAATCGAGAAAGAAAAATAGTATGCGTTTACTTACCAGGAAATTGCTTATGGTAAATGTCCTCCCGGCATGATTAGGGGCAACTTCTACATGGTTACTCAAATGTCCAGCCGAATTAAATGCCGAAAAGGTCATTGAAAGTGAAATTAGGCTAAATCAAAGAGAAGAAACAACAAAATAAAAAGAGAAAATATTCATAAGCTTTTAAAACTAATCCACTTTGTTTATTTTAGTCTCAGTAATCCCCAGTGACGTTTGTACATGGTAGTGTCACTAGCTTAGGTAAGTTCAATAGAAAAAATAATCTCCTCTAACTACTTAGCACTCAATAAGCTTCTCTCCCTTTCTCCCTCTGGCCAGTAATTGTAGGTGATAAGCCGATTAACATCAATTTTCAATAATTCATGAAACTACTGTTAAGTACATTCAAAGGTACAATAAGACTGAAATAGCTTAAAACTACTGGTATGTAAATTGTGTAGAGATTAATAGCTTTAATTTTACTTAGGAAGTTTATAGAGATTTGATTTCTTTCAAGATAAACTTCGCTGATATATTCAACAATTAAAACAGAAACACTGGCCAAGTATTGAGCCCTTCATTAATAGTAGGGACTTACAATCAGATGGATAGGGCACATGCAAACGAGTTATCTTCTATGAAAAGTTCGAAAGAAAATTAGTTTCTTAGTCTAGTTTTGTTTAGTTTGTTCTCTGTACTCTTAATACAACTGGTTCGAATGTAACGGATTCTCTTCAATACAATAGAGAGATTCAAGTTTTCAAAGCCACAAACGTAATCAATATTCAAGAGGTTTCATGACGAGAAAAACATCACACTGATCAAGGCACTCTACATGAACTCATGTAGTCATCTAGATGAGAGCCTACACAGAGTTGTCATCTGACAACTGTGGTGACAAACAGTGGTGTTCGTCAGGGATGCCCATCATAGATATCGTACTAATGGACACAACCCTAACTAACTTCAGAGACTCAAGAACCGACTTGTTACCAAGGAATAATCTTTTACGACTCAGAATATGCACTTGATATAGTCCTCCTTCCTAGGTGAAGACGCAGACAATATGTAGAGTCTTCTAAACACCTTGAGCTTCAATTTTCGAATTTTTGTCATGCGATCCGCTCTTGTCAAATGCAAGATGGTGTTACAGGATTGGACTACAGCGACTCCTAGTTTAAAAATAGGAAGTGAAGTGGTAGACCACGTTGGCCGCTTTACTTGTTTGGGAAGTACCATCACCCCCAATGGGTTGATCTCCAACGAAATCTCAACACGGATACAGAGGGCTAGTTTCGCATATGCCAGTTTACACCGTCTCCGGCAGAGACGTGATGTCCGGCTATCGACCCAAGTCGTGTTTACTGCTCATCAGTCCGCTCCGTCCTCCTTTATGGCTGTGAGACCTGGCCACTGAGAGTGGAAGACATGAAAAGATTAGCTGTCTTTGATCATAGATGCCTGCGTTCTATCTCTCGTGTGTGTTAGGTGGTATAATAAGGTGAGCAATATTGAGGTTAGGCGTCGAGTGCTAGGTAAGGAGGAGAAATCAATCGACGAGTCTGTGAAATTACATCGACTGAGATGAGTAGGATATCCCACGTATGCCTAGTCATCGCCTTCCTCGATGGGGAATGCTAGTTGACATAGGGTCAGGCTGGAAAAGAGCTAGTGGCGGTCAAGCCAAAACATGGCACCAGTCAGTGAAATTCACAACAGTTAGTTTGAGCCACGTAAAAATAGTAGACTTCCTGACTAGTTGGGGTCCTCGTGACGGTAAAAATCAATGGTTGAAAACAATTGGTGATACGGCTCAAAATCGTTGTCAATGGCTGGTGCAGATCCATCCACTCCTTGTGACTTATGATTTCCAATGAAACTGTTTTGTTCTTCGTTATAACTATTCCTTTGTCTCACCTCTGTTTACTGTCTCTATCATGCTTTTCTTGTACTTTCTTCTCTTGCTTTGTGTGCTACAAGGAGGGAGTGTGGCGACGTGAACTGCCGCACATATGTGCAAAGTTCTATATTGAAAACAGACAGACTCCATATTATACATGTGCCCCAATACAGTTGCCGATATAATTTTCACACGCCTGTAATGGCTATATGTATTGTAATAATTATGGATTTATAACTGTAGTGCCTGAAGAATTTATCAAAAAAGGCCTGTTCACTCAAAATCACCTTTTTCTGATTATAATTATCGTTATTACTGATGTACAAAAGCTTTAACATTTATAATTATTTGATCCGCAAACTCACCGTCATTGATTACATTTTTTATAAATAAAGCTATGTAATTTAGTGTAAAGCCTGAGAAACAACTAATTGAAAACATTATTGCGCACTTATATGTCTTGTCCGAATATTAATAATGGGAATATTTAAAGATTGTCAGTTTTTCATCTCCCAGTGTAATTCTAATAGTATATGTAGCCCTATATGTAGAGTATCTATCTGAAGAGTTAACAACGATATGAATTATCAGCATTAATCCCGATCAGTATATAATCGGTTCAAAAATCATTTAACACCAAACATCTTATAGTTAATGAGATGTTCACATCTAGATTTAATACTTCCCCATTGCCACGTTACTTTATATTCTGCACGCAAATAAACGTCAAGATGGACATTATGAATAGCTGTCAGTGTGCTAACAGCTTATAAAACCGTTAATTACTTCGACCAAACTACTCTTGAAAATTAACAAATCTTCGTTTAGTTTGACAGTAGCCACCTTTTTTTGTTGTTTTTTTGAACCTAATCACCCTGAATAAATCTTTCATGTAGCAGGCTAAGAGATACGTACGCAGCCGCCCAGGCTGTATAAGTGACGAGAAACTTGAACTGCTGAGCTATTCGAATTTTTAAGCTAATCTCAGCATAACTAAACTTAAAAAAAAACAAGCGAAAAGGGGTAATAACACTACCTGAATATTCTATATATTGAGAGCAGAATACGAGTATGGCCTATCGTTTATAAGCCGAGTAAACTTGATTCTGAATTCACACAATGATACATAACTGACTATACTGAAGATAAGATTGATTTGTAACCCCTTATCAGATTAATATCATCGGTCGGTTCCTTAATATTTTACGACTTATGCATCAGTAGAACTGATTTCTAGCAAAACAGCAATATGGAAGTAAACTGCTTATACTCAATCACATCATTCAGATCATAAAATAAGTATAAAGTTTTTCAATTGAATGATCGGAAATCGGATGACAGCGAATGACTGGAATGAAAAGTTATAGCATAATGACTGTTTTGGCAAATACGTCGGATTGTGAGGGCGATTGTTACTTCCCGGTTGCCCACACCGTGGAAGTTGGTTGCTTGACCGCAGAGCCCAGGGGACGACTGCTTGAGGCCGGTCACACACGGCCTGTTTTTGTTTGTTCTTTGGTGTGTCTCAGTAGCATATTTATCACTTCTGCCCTGTGACGGCAGCAGGAAGCGCAGTCGTTAATCCGGGCCCCGACCGATCCGGCATGATATTTTGTGAGTTTGTTTGTATCACAGTATTGGACTGGGTAGCTGCTTTTTGTCTAACCGCTATCCAAACAACCTTTCTGGCATGGTAGGGCTTCAAGAGACATAAGTCTCAGCCAGTAAGCTTGTTGGAACATTGAGGTGTTCAAGCCCGACCACCACGTCAAGGTAGCAGCTTTCGGTCGGGCAAATATGTGGAACCTGATCAGTTTACACAAAATTAATCGATTCATGCAATATTTCCCCTTCATGTTTTTTACTAACATATAAAATAGAAAAGCTTATAAAACACCTAACAATATTCTCCACAGTGTCTCACTGACTTCAGACTGTGGGTGATACGGCTCAAAATTATCCTCAGTAGAGCGGATGCATTCAACCATTGCAACCTCTCATATCTGTTAAGTCATCAAGTTTTTCCACGTAATTATTCTTTCTCCCATATATTTCTGTTCATTGTGGTCCTTTCGAATTTTTCTTCCCTGTCTACCTTTATCTACTACGTGAAGTGTGGAAACCTGGACCGCCGCACCTCTGTACACAGTTCTACGTTGAAACTCAGTCAATGAGTTACTCAGACTATGCCAAATTTGAAGATATGAACTATTGAATTTAGCACTAAACTCTTCTTAGTCAGTACCTCCCAGGTTTGAATCATGCACCACTTGTTTCAATCTGAGAGACTGAGTCCTCACTTAACATTGAACCAAATTATCTACATAGGGCATAGTAGAAAAATGCATCACATTAAGTGGTATGAAGGTATTAACACTTCAAAAACGTAACAGTATGTTTGCAGTTATTCTCCAACACTCCTAACGTAGAATCATGGAAAAAACACGCCATCTATAACTCATAATCAAATTGTTAAAAAGAAATAGTTTTTATAAAACTTACATAACAGCCGTTGTTATGCTGCTTGTCAGAGAGAACAAGAAAAGCACCACACCAGGGCCTAAGAGACCAATGCATGACATTAGTCGTCGAACACTCAGAACACTGAACTGTCGTTTGATAAGGATATTTGCCACTCGGCCGGCAACTGCAAAGAAAACAATTAAAATATTACGATACTACTATGAAAACATCTGTATTCTGAATAACAAATACAGCCAGAACTTACTGAGACAATAACCAACATAGTGAAAATTAGAAGAAAAAAATTATAAAAGCTAAGAAAGTACATAACATATGTACACATATCATGCGGAGGACTGCTTGAACTTTGGACAATCAAAATACCATCTTTCATCATATCACATATTGCTTTCATGTGCTCTTATATTTTTTCAATCAATTAATAATGTCTTCTAATCATATTGTTTACAATCGTACCATTTGAAAGTCTCTAAAATTTATCGCATTGAGTTATCCCCAAAATTTGAAGAGAAAACATCTCTGTACTTGGCAGTGAACACTAAAATGTGGGAAAATTAGTCATATAACTGTTCCCAAAATGGTAAGCAGACTACAGGTCTGTGCCTAATAAAATGGACTGTTTCAATCTCTGATATTTGGGAATGTGTATCGAAATGCTGGTTTTTTAACAATACAAGATACTTGGCTGAACCATCAGCATGGTGACAACTTAATTTCATCAAATGGGCAATGAACGATCCTATTCACATCACAATATTCATTCAACAAGACGCATGTTGTGTGATACAGACTAGGACATATTTGTCAATGAAATGCTGGATGTTACTGACTCTAATATCAACTGATATATAAAGTTATCCTTCGACATTTGCTGTCTCATCAAAACACTGTTTACTTATCCTACTAACTAATACTCATAAACTGAATCCCTCTAAATGTTAGACTGGCAATTTTAGCGGCAGATGTGACAAAGAATTATGTTGACTGATTCAGTCCCATGTATCTTGTAACATCGACGGCACAGATACTGAATATCTCATTGTTTCGTAACTCTATCCTTGTATGTCTTTGTGTAAAGTCAGAAGAGATACAATACGAACTTATGCTCGTACGGTGAAATATAAAAATTCAACTATACCATATTTAGCACGGGTTTTGTGTGAAGAGACAAATTTCAGAAAAGAACTTATAAACTTACCTCACGATGTGTAAATAAACAGCATTATTATCGCATATTTTATTTTTTTTTAACTTCAGTTTTTGCGGTCTTATTATTTTTACTAATTTATTTACTTATTTGTAGGAGATAAATTGTTGTCGTATACAGAACGGTAAAAAATTTCATTCTGCATAATTGCTACTGTTTAGGATAACGTGATTAGCATCAACTACGAGCAAATCTCAAGGTAGGGAGGTTTAAGCTCCCTGATTCATGTTGGCGGGATGTTATTTATCGGTGATTACAGAATAAAGGCCAGTCGGTTTGAAACCGGTAAAAGTTTGCACTAGTTTTTCAATTCAATCTTGGAAACAACATAAGTTATCACTAATTTATGTTTCTAGTTATATATATATATATGCATCCAGATCAAGGAGTAGTTTACAGGTAACATCGCTGTTTAACAGATAATATAGTTTTTGAATTTATGTCAACATTTAGTCCTATTCAGGCATCGGGAAAAATCTAAGTACCTGTCAAGAGGAGTGAGACGTGGTTAGTACTCTTAATCCCTTCTTCCATAAGTTTGGACTAATAGCTACAAGTGGTATTTCTGAAGAACATTTAGCACTAATTTACCCGGATCCATAAATTAAGAGTATGCAATTTAAACCCACTGTCTATTTTGAATTTCGTATATAGAGTGAAGTAAAAAACATTTTAACCAACAAACGACAAACTAAACAGATACGCGAAATAGTTTAAAAGTAAACGAAATCAATGCAGTACAAGATGACCTGAACTTACTGACACTCCCAAGGCAGTTGCAAACGTAAGGTATGGCTGTAAGCATTACTGAGTATTCGTCTGCTCCCAGATAACGCACCAAATAGGTAGGTAACCACAGCATCACAATATAATTTGACCAATTCATGCTGAAATGAGCGATGTAGATTGCCCACAACGGCCAATGTGAAACAAACTCAGTCCAGTGAGTAGTTGTCTTGAAAGGCTTTAGTTTCATGAGTAACGAAGAAAAGTGATCATAAAAATAACTCTGTCTAATTTTCAGTTGGTAGATATTGTTAATGAGGTACTCACTAACTAAATTCGTAAACAGAATGCAAGCGGATTTCCCGAGTGATATTTTGAACTACACAAACTGATATAACGACAACATAAAAAGGCAAAAGGTATCAGCAAATGACAAAACAGCCAAATATTGTTATCAGGAGCGTATAAGAAAGTGTCTGACACATTGTGTTACTTTTGATAGTGAGAGGAACAAGAAGGGTGCAGCATCATCAATACTGGTTTTTCATTTTTAGACACGTCCCACCAGATGAATAGTGCTGCACCAACAGACGAGAAACCAATATGTCCCACAGAGCTGAGCACTCAACTTTCACATAACAAGTATTTCATTAGAATCCTGCTCTATCTATCCTAGCATAAACAACTGGATAGTGGCATCGTCTGTGTATTCCTTAGCCTCACACAAGAAAAATCTGAGCCAGGGAACTGATTTCCGGAAAAATCACCTAACATCCCATGGCGTTAAGCTGTGAAGTGATTACTTTGTCATTGGTGTCTGGAAATAGGATTATATATATATATATATATAAACATAGACAGTTCAAATACTTACATAAAGAGGAATAGCAGTCGTACACACGGTAGATATGCAACAATAGCTGGAGTTGCTATAAGTAATATCAAGTTTAACATCTTAACTGATACTAAAACACATCACTATAAAGTTTGATTGTCAAAGCATTGCCATGATAATTTTCTCTCTTTGTCCTTCAAAATATTTACCTTTCCCCTTACGCCTGACATTTCTTCGCTCCCTTCTTATTTTTGCGAATCAGATTTCTGTAATTTTGAAGCCCGCGACTTTCGGTGAATCTCCAGTACCATAAGCCGATGATAGCAGATTTCACTGAAAATTATGACAGATCATCCCATATCGACTTGATCTTTTTTCTACAGAAAAATAATGGTTGATCTAACGGTTCAACTTCACTCTCAGTTTCCGTGGAAACTGTCATTAGACTGTAAGTCATGGGACCCAGCACTTTCATTCAAGCGAAAAATTCCAAAATGTTGCATCACGGTACTGGACAGAGCATAAATATGTGGTAATAAAAATAATTCTTTCACAAGATACAGTGACACTCAAGTATCACTGTTAAAACGCTTTTCCCCTTTCCAAGGTCTACATATTATATAAACTATTTTTATATTATACAACCTGTTCTATAGCTTGTCATTGAACTACGATTCTAATTACAAATACTGTGATTCATTTCAAATTATTATTAAAAGTATTCACACCTATTGTTTGAATTTCCCGATGGGATACAGTTTGTATATCTATATATACGACTGTAAAGCTAGATAATAATAAATTCGTTAAAAAAGTCCCTTAGTTTAATACTGTGTTCTCAATGCTGCAGCGATAAGAAAAAGCACCAAACATTACCAGCGGGGGGAACCTAAAGGAATTTAACTCTTTCATTTATCTAGGTAGCATCGTTTCAACTACAGGGGGGGGGAGCACAGATGAGAATGTCAAAGCCAGTCAGGATCGAAAATGTAAGACAGATCTATATTAATCAGTCTGGAAATCTGCTGCACTAAGTAACTATTAAGAACAATATTCGGATTTTCAACACTAATATCAAGTCAATGAGTGCTTCCATACGACTCAGAGACTTGGCGTGTCACCGAAATAATTCCAAACAAACTTCACACATTTATCAACAGCTGCCTTCTCTCCATGCTGAAGATCAGATAGCCAAAAAGGATTAGCAATAAGGAACTCTGGCAACACATCTCAACCAAGAACATGTTGTTCAACAAATATGCAGAAGGAAATGGAGTCGAATTGGACATACACTGAGGAGACTGTTAAGTGGCATCACGCACTAGGTACTGCAATGGAACCCTAATAGGAAACGAGTTGGGTGTCTCAGAGTGACACAGAGGAGGTGGAAGATTGTGGGTAATCGCGGGGCCAGCTAAGAATGACTGCAGATAACGGAGTGAAATGGAGATGTGCTGTTGAAGTCCTTTGTTCCACTTGGAACCTATAATAATAAGGTTGCGATGAGAATTATCAACTTATTCGTATACTAAACGCTGATACTGATAAGCTTTTGGGTATGCAGGAGAAAGTGAATTCTTATTTCCCATGTAATGACAATAGGTACTTAGTGATGGAAACGGTTCTAAATATTTGATGATTTCTCCAACATATATCAATACCTCGTTAATCCGTTTACCCTAAGAGTTTGCAAAACATGATAAGATTTTAAAAAGTGTAATACTGAAATATAAAGTACACGAGCTAGACAAACCTGAGATTGTTGAGTAGGGAACTCATCTCTTAACTCAGCCTTTTTAATAACGTTAAAAACAGGTATCCATAAGCAAATCCACACAAGGCCAATAAATCCAAATATATAAAATGAATTAGACCAAACTAAGTGTGGACAAACCAAGGTGGCCACTGTTTGGCCAAAAGCACCAAATGCCACTAGATATCCAAGAGCCCAGCTGCGTTCTTCAATTGGCACAACATAAGAAAATATATGGAATATCGTGGGCAGGCCTAGATAATGTAAGAAAATTAGAACTATAGCGACAACAAAAATACAGAAAAAGTGTACTCGAAGTTACTAGTATTATCATTAATATTATATATATATATATATCTTTGGTAACTGACTTCCTAACATAGAGTGCTAAGGTACACTTATCACTGCTCTACTGAAATCACAATTCTGTAAACAGCTAATTGACTGAGAATTTTTACATGAAAGAAGGTAGAGATACGGGAGTAACACAATTTATTTATCGTTTTACTCACCATATTTGAACCCAAAGGGATAAGATCATTATTTTGTGTTCTAACCAACAAAGTAGCCTTTTTAGTAAGTCTTCTACGCTTTGAATACGCTTCATGACTTGTAAACTTAGAGTCGTTAGAAAAAAACAGTTAAAAACTGATCATAATTTAATACGAATCAAATAGATATTATAAATACGATTTGCAGTGCAATAGCTTGAGAGGCGAACTGACATAACTATTGTGACCACTTAAATATGACTGTTCCAGCAAAAATCGTTTTTCATGAGGAAATCTTAAGTACATGAATATCTTATAACCATTTAATTAATAAATAAGAACAGATGCTAGCGAGCGACCAATTCGATTTGAGGTTACAAACAGCTTTTTTGAGGGCTATAAACTTATATAACGAATGAGAAGAAAAGAGATAAGTAGTGTTTATGAGACACATGTGTAACGAATATGTAATTAATTTTTGCAATTACTGCTGAAGAAATATAAGAACTTTGACCAAAACCCAACATTTCTAAACCTCCTATGAATTCGAAAAGTAAATGGTTGTTTATACTATAGTTCTTTAAATTTCAGACACCAAATAACCTGGAAACTTGATCTTAGGGGGTTTCTAGATTCTTTCACACAGATACATTATCAAACTTAAAGAGATACCTATAAAGAAAACAAAATTGACAACTACGGAATTAATTCGCCACTTATCTGATATGAGACGATTTCTGACTGGAACGGAAAGCGGTAAGCGAATGATAACCGCACTCACAATTCCTGCATTATATCTGTAGATTACTCATTCGATTCAAGGCTTAATTATAGTCATACAATCATCCTTAATAAATAAATAGACTGAATTATGGTAATAAAAGTGGATCCGTATTTTAAATACAGTAACTACTGACGAGAGAATTGAATAAGTTAGAATTTCAAACTGAGTCGCAGCTAGCAAATTTCTCACCAACAGTAATCCTTCAAAAAGTTAAGGTCAATTAATGGATGGTGACTAGCAGTGGAATCCAGGATGCGCATTTCGTCCAATTTGGGACTAGTCATTTGGATGTACCTGCACTTCCCAATAAGTGATGGTGTTCTCACCAAGGCTTGAACCTGAGACCGAGGACTTCGGTACAACGAATAAACGAGGAAAATTTAAATTGAATTAAACCTCGGAAAATTAGTTCAAAAATTTTTATAAGATGCAGCTAACTGCCCTCAACCTGTATAGTCCTAGTAAGCTACTACCGTGATAAATGGAAAATCTGATGAAAATAAGAAGTATCTTTTTAAAATATCTTCTATCTTAGTAAAGCCTCTTTTATTTTCGAACATAGGAATTTATCTGAGCATAGAATAATTGACACTAGAAATATGAATAACTCAAAGGAGAACCCAGCAATCACAATGCACAGACTACACACAGTCATACAATAGGATGGGAGAGAGCCGTAGTTCTAAGAAGTAATGTAACTAGGTGGAGGGAAAGGTTTACCACTTAATTTTTGTTCATCGCGTCAGCACCTAACACGCGCAAGGAAGATGAGACAGAGATACCGAAATTACTGCTACCAATAAAAGCATAGAATAAGTTATATAAACAAAGTTTGGTAGTTAAATGAGTGCCTTGATATCAGCAATAAATTGTGTTCAAAATTTCATCAGTAAATAATAGAATGAAACTGTTTTCTAGCGAATAAAATTAAACAATAATCAAACCTCTTTCCTAAAACAAGAGATTTCTCATCTAATTTAACTCTACAAACAGCTGATCCTAGATCTATCATAATTTCTCTTGCCACGTTCAGTTTACCAACATATGACCAAATTTTTAACAAAGAACTTTGCAAAAAGTGTAGTAGGTTAAGTTACCACATTCCATACAGACAGATAAATATAGAGAAAAACTACGATTAACAGAAAGCTACGGAGGAGTAACTAAGTGGAGAAAAATGAGAATTTGGGAGTTTATAAAGAGTGAATGCATCTGCGCCATCGAGAACGATTTTAAGCCATGTCACCAGCAATCTCAAACAACTGATTCTTAGCGTATCGACGACTTCACAATGCTCCGCATGACTCACACCAGCAACCACCTTTTCCTCTGACTTTCTCTCAATCTTATGTCAGCTAACACCACTTGACAAGGATGGTGATGGCTTGGCATGAATAGCACGTGTCGCAGCCATCCCAGTCGACGCAGCTTCAAAATTTTTCAAGTAACACTGTTTAACCTTAATATTACTTACTATATCCTATTTGAGGTTGTAGATAAGATGCGAAAATTAATGGTAAAATACAGCTTGCCCCACTATACCTCCCATTTTCAAAAGTCAATTCCTAGTCAGAAGAATGACGGGGTGAACTGATGAGAAATACAAACATCGTTTAATCTACCGGATACCAAGTTCACGCCAAAGATGGTGCAATTCAGCAAATATTACACCAGCTTTTTGTATCTGTGCTGGTCAGCAATCAGTTCATCAGAGCCATTGAGAATGGTATGAAATATGATTGTAGATACAGTAAAACCAGTTTTTCATATGAAATACCCATTCAGTTTTAATGAAAAATAATAAATTTCGGACGTAATTTCCTTACCAATACCTTCCCTCAAACCAAGAAGAATCCGAAAAACTACCAATGAGTAGATTGAATGGGCGAAGAACGGAGTGGCAATGGATGATAAAGACCAAAATAAGACCGCAAAGCTAAGTATTAAACTCCCACCATAACGTTTTGCTGCACTTCCACCAATAACCTGTAATACAAACCAATAATTAAAAGCCAACATCACTTACCATGCTAACAAGGTATCCTACAGAGAACGAACTCAAAATCCATCCATATTGATGTAGATTCCAACCGAAGCGATTTGCCATGGGTATTATAACGATTGGTATGATAACCCGGTCAGCAGAGTTAATGAAGTTTGCTAAACAGCACAAAAAAACTATTCTCCAAACGCAACTGGGTTCATTGATCCATTTGAATACATTATACGTCGGCAGAAAGTTCAGACAATTTAAGTAGTCCATATTCTTGTTTTCGTGAATCTCTTATGACGCAGATGATGCATACTAAGCACCTTTAGGTAACGAAACTTTGTACGTCATGCTTAGGCTCTAAGTAATAGTAAAACAAACATCCATAGGAACAAAATCCCGGTTGGTAAGAATCAAAACAAAATTAAGTAACAAAGGTTTTGCAAGCAATACAATGATATTTCCAAAATCTTGTACGGAACTAAGACGAATAGGCCCACAAGATATTTACTACATTTCAGTCCATCAAAAGACACGGTGTCAAAATTAACGATAATTACAAGAATTGAATTAACCATGATTCCATTATACAGTGACTACTTCGTGCCGATACCAACCATGCCTTCAAATCCATAGAAGTGTACATGAACTTACATTCTGTTTGAATATATACTAAGCATTTATTTGAATGTCTACTTCATTTAATTATTCAGTTTGTATGCCGAATATCAGTAAGTGGGGGATAAAATGATTGATGGATATTTTACCACAAAATGAGAGGATTAGTTAACTAGGATAGCATCCAGGTATTCTATACGTAATTAGCCACTCTCCAGCACGCAAAGATAACAACTCAGCACTGACATTTCGAACTTCATGCATTCCCACCAGAAATATCAGCTGTTTATCTATCATTTCTGAATACTTGAAATAAGCAATAGCAAGGAAGAGTCGATGTAGGCTTACACGAACCTTAGAGTTGTTAAAGATTAAAGCTAACGCGAATACTATTAAGATCAATACCTTCTGTCTGGACCGAAATGAAGCTACTAGCAGTAGTCATACTATCAGACTTAAACTACAATGAAATAAGAATTTTGCCGCAATGAATCCGATTAAGAGGATATATTACGATATACTATGCCTATTATCATATAATTACGGTCGAGCATACATATGCGGTTACCTTCTATAATCCAAAGCAAAACAAAAAATATGGCTACGATGAAGTTTTAATTTTAACATGTATCAACGTAGGAAAACCAGACAGCTCGAGTCGCATTCCATCACTATACAAATATTTAAATCATGTAATACAGCCATAGTCAACAAGGTATGCTACACTAAGCAGCTACCTAATGAGGGACTTTAAGTTACGACAAATGCGAAATAAGGCGTTAGCTGTATATTACGCCTACACAACCCACCTACAGGTAAAAAAAGCCAATGCGTGGCAAGTGACCTAGAAGCTGAAAAAGGCGCAAGTTGCTTCTAATAGATTGGAAGAGGAAAGTATCGAAAGTGTTTTTGTTAAACATTTTTACACATACCTGTAATATCCAGGATACTTTTGTTTCTTCTTTACGACTTAAAATAGTAACATACCACAACTAAGTGGCCTTGGACCGAGCAATATGGTCCAATATCCAATATCGTTTTTACGAGCTAGTATAAACCAATTTGATTTCTTTGTGCTCGCTTCTTGATTGTAAGGTGTAGGTTCCTGATCTTCGGTAAACTTCTGCGTAGCTTGTCCAGCCACTCGACTGTCGTAGCTTTGGTTGACTCCAAAGGGAGTAGTGCTGGGATTATTAAATGTGGTTTGTAGTATAATAATAATAATAATAATAATTTATTTTCATATAAACATAAATTTACATGAAAATGCATGCCATTTTTACAGGCACGATCAAGGATGATATAATGTCAAATCTTAAATTGTCTACAAGTTAATAATGTTTCAACAGTTTAATATTTGATATATATATATATAATTACACTGATTGTCTGAACCAGGCCGTATAGTTATTGAATTGTACAGTTGTCCTCCAGGTTGAGCGGGAAAATCGACTTCGTTTCGTTTTCATCCCGTGGTTGTAGGCATACGATAACCAACCAATATTGAGGTAAGTACAACGTTTACAAGGAATTGGAAGCTGTTTTAGAAAAACTAAAGTGCTGAGGTGAAACATTAAAGTGTAATAGATTAAGTGAGTGAAATATATCATTAATAAACACATTTATATAGGAAACAGAATGGGGAAGTAATTAATCCTTAGGCCGACAACGTTCATTTGCAATGTATAATGAAACCAATATATTTTATATTATCATGATGTCCACTTTTGGCTTTAATACAATTATTTTCAAGCCAGTTGTTTTTATTTCATGTCTTTTTTTCTATTTGGTGCACAACCGTACCCTCCAGAGAATAGGAATAGAATAAGTCGAATCAAATTCATAAAGAGCTATAAAATGTTAGGTTTAATGGAATATAATGAGAATCAAGTAAAGACGTTATTAGAAAATAAGTGAGACAAGATATTGTGAAGTGGTATTTAAAGATCTGACAATGGATAGCAAGTTAATTTATAAGATGCCCCATAAATCTGTGCAGATCCCACGTGGTCGCATCTCAACAATAGGCTGAGCGAATGGTATATATTTAAAGGTAGAAGCATTATCTGTCAAGGCGTTCACTATTATCTTTTTCAAGATAAAGATCTAAGCCCTCATAAAAATCAGAAATATCTCGAGCCTTTAATTTGTGTTTTGCTGTTCCTGCAGAATGGGGCGATTCACCTTAGTGACCACCACCATATCTACTGATCAGCTAACGCCACCCTCCCTCCTTTTTTGATGTTAGGCTCTGAGACTATGATTATTATGGCTACCGCAAATATATTGCTTGGTACCAGACATGTTCGTACCCCATATTCCATCTCCCTAGCTTTCTTAATGAGTGCTTCCAATAGGTCTCCACGTACATCTTTACGAACATATTATATATGTGTGCATGCATCCTGATGAACAGATTACTTTATAAGAAGTTAAAACCTTAAAGAGTGAAACGAATAGGTGTTGTGAATGGTGGAGCAAGATTTAGCAGAATACTATAGTTAAGGTTCAATTTAGGTAGTATGGACTGAAGGTAAGGTCGGTTGGCAGGACTTAGTGTACTAAATTATCATGACAGTCTTATATATAGTAAACATCTGACATTGCAAAGTAACGTGTCTAGACATATTATAAAAAGATATTAACACAGAACCAACGAAATTTTGGCATTTTTTAACAGTACTGCAGTGTGTGTATACTGAAGAATGGTGGTTAGTCTACAGGGAGCCGTAGAGTAAATCAAACCATATATGATAAGAGTATAATCAATAATATAGTTCGTATATCAAATATTACACTAGGTTCAATAATTGAGTGTTATAAGGGAAACAAGCGTGGTAAAGCAAGAGAACATTTGATGCATAAATATTTTAAGTATTTTAATATCCATCTAATTTAAGAGTTGAACATGCATGATTAATAAGTATTATTATATTAGTATATACATATGTAAAACGTTAAAAGGTGTGGATGCTATTACAATTATTTCCAGTGTTACTTTTACCAACACAACTTAGTGAAAATTATAGAGAATAGAAATCAGTAAATTAGTTAACGTTCGCTGCGTGAGTATTAGAGTCGAGATATACGTATGTGACTATATTGAAGACTGGACTGGCCTTCAATTTCCGTTCTACCAACAGTTGTGGTCTTTTAGACGAGCTAGGGTGGACATGTTAAAGTGTCTTTCTAGGCTCCGTTTGAACCCATCAGGGTTTTCACAACATCTTATTTCAGGTGGTAGTTGGTTCCAAAGAGTGCAATATTTTATGGTGAAAAAGTTTGCCCTAATGGATTTTCTGTGGGTAGCCACCTTGACAAGGTAGTCGTGGTTTCGCAGCTGATATGATTTAATATTTTCCCAAGTTATGGATGAGTTACTGTAGCAGTGTTTCCTAATGACTTTGAAGAGTAGAAATAGTTTGCACTTCACTCTCCTTAACCACAGAGGCTCTAAGTTCAGACGTACACACCTGTCAACATATTCCACTTGTCGGTCGAACCCTATTATGCGTTTCGTGAGGAATCTCTGGACACTTTCGATTTTTTTTCTGTCTACAGTCCTGAGGTTACTAAATAGGAGAGCACAATATTCAAGTTTGGGACGGATACATGTCCTATATATAGCTAATCTCGCTTCTTGGGTGTAGAAGTTACGCAGTACAAAGCCAGTAAGTCGTTTACAGTCAGATACAACCTTATTTGCATGATCGGAAAAGGATAAATCTGAGTATGTTATCCCGAGGTCTGTGACTGTGTTCAGTTTTGAGAGGAGCTTCCCGTACATATATAGGCACATTATCGGTTTCCAGCGTCCAAGGTGGGTTATACCGCACTTGTCTGGGTTGAAAGTCAGTTGCCACTTTTCGCTCCAATCGCCTAGATCATTTAAGTCTTGTTGGATCTTGCTTTCGACGCTCATATCACCGTACCCATAATCATATACTATCTTGAGATCATCTGCAAAAAGGTATGGCTTGCCATACTTGATTACAGAGACTATGTCATTTATAAATAAGAGGAATAGAATAGGGTCAAGAACACTACCTCGTATTACACCACTGGTTATCGGCTTTGAGGAAGACAACTGGTGGTTGATTTTGACTAATTGCTCTCTTTCTGTGAGAAAAGAACTTATCCATTTGTGAAGATTTCCGGTTATTCCGTAGGATTGGAGTTTTGTTAGGAGTCTGATATGTGGGACTTTATCGAAGGCCTTGCTAACGTCAAGAAACAATGTTGTTACCGAACGCCCATTATCAATGCTTTGTGTGATGTAGTCAAAATAATCTAAGTGGCAAGTAATGCACGACCTTCTACTTAAGAAACCGTATTGGGATGGGGATAGTAGGTCATTTGACAGCAAGTACTGAATGATTTGAGTCTTAACTATCTTTTCCATTACACGTGAAACTACAGACGTGATGTTGATGGGGCGGTAGTTGTTGATATCAGCTATAGGCCCGTATTTATGGATAGGTACAATATAAGACTTCTTCCAGCAGTTAGGGTATGTCCCATCGCTTAATGAAATTGAGTATAACTTGAGTAAGAGTAAACTCATGTCATTACCACCTTTTTTCAGCAGAACGGAAGATATACCGTCTGGGCCAGTAGTGTTACTAAGCTTAAGATTTGCGACAGCTTTATCGATCTCATGTGTGGTGAAAATTATGTCACTTAAACATTCGTCTGTTTTACGTGGGAAATCCACGACCTCATCGTTCTCTAAGGTGTATAATCTGGCGAAGTGCTTGCTAAACAGTTCACATATGTTAAGACTGTTACTACTGTGACTGGAGTTGATCCCTTCGCCAGTTAGTCCTTCGGTATCGTCGACAAGAGAAAAGAGATGGTAATAATAGTAATAATAATAATAGATATAATTAGTGAAGTTATTCAGACTTAGAGACAGAAACGAAAATAGGAAACGTAACGACAGTCAACTCATTAAGTTTGAAGAATAATATATATATCGGTAATAGTGATAGTAATAACAATAATAGTAATTATAATATTAATAAGTTGTCAGGAGAGTAAGACGGGAGAGAATGTGAAGAAGTAAAACGACGAGTTTGGTATATGCGATTTTAAGGAGATAGGCCATTTGGATGCAGTCCTTATATCGCTGCATGGTTGTCCAGCCTTCGCTTAAAGGCGTCCAAAGACGGTGCCATAGCTACATCTGCCGGCAAGGAATTCCAGGGACGGCAAACCCGCAGTGAAAAGAAGTGGGAGCGTACCCGGGTCCTTGCCCTCTGGTGAGTCATCCTTCTGGGATTTCCACGTGGGAGCCTATACCTACTCAATGGCAGAACACCTTTGTTTGGGTGATTCTGTCCATTCGTTATTCTGTAGGCAGCAATCAAATCCCCTCTAAGCCGATGGTAGCTAAGTGTGAACAGGCCTAATTTCTTCAGCCTTTCATTATATGGTTTGTTTCGGAGACCGGCCACTCCTTTTGTTGCCAGTCGTTGGACTCTTTCCAAGAGGTTGGCGTCTCTTCTCAGCATTGGGGGTGCAATAATATTATGCGCCTCAAGGTGTGGCCTGACGTATGTTTTGTACAACATTAGAAAGAGCTCAGGAGTGAGTGCACCTAACTGTCTATGCTTAGAGTGTATGACCGCATATGCTCTCGCTACATCCCCTGTGTAATTTACGCTTGTGTCCATTTTTTCCGTTAGAACTAGACCTAAGTCGCGTTCCGACGTTGTGAAGGACAAGCTTTCATTGCACAGGGTGTAACTTGCATTCTGCAGTCTACAGGTGCGCAACTTCACTACTTTGCACTTTTTCAAGTTGAAAGTCATGCCACTGGCCACTGCCCAGTCTTCCGGAAGGTTTAGGTCTTCCTGTAGCCTATCTGAGTC